TAGCTCGCAGCCTGGTCTCCAGTTTGAGCGAGCGCGAGGATCGATAATTTAGCCTACTCTGTTGTTGAATTTCGAATTTTGACGTTACTTTAAAACCATGCAGGATGATTGGGCTTTTGCCTTAACTATGTCTGGCTGACACTCCCACTGTCTCTGCCGCCTGCACGGGTGACATGTGCCCGTTCATCAGGCCTTATCTTCCCTTGAAGCAACGTTGTAAATTCTGCCATCCTAGCCCTCCTCCGGTTCATTACTTAACAACACCTGGTGTTTTGCAGTTTGCTGCGCTTGGTGTGTTTCACTCATTAAAAAAACAAGTAAAAAGATAATATATAAAAATCATCAAATATTATTAATCTCAATTATGGAAGAAGGGTTAGTATACAACACCAGGTATCGGGTAGGGTACGGGTATCGGGTACCCGGTTGCGAACTCTGCCAGGCCCTGAAGATCAAGGCTGTCTCTGGTGTAGGCCACTCACTTTCAAAGACGATGCATATATAATTATCGGAGCGTGTTTATGTGCATGTTCACCACAAGTGCGTGTGGTTAATGCAGACTTGATTCCTTACAGTAGGCATTTATTTGGTGTTTTAATATGTTAACACCTGTTTCATTGCCAGAAAGGGTAAAATCTATTCTTTTTCATACGTTGACACTGACAAAAAGCTACAATTTTACATTCGTATGTTGTACACATTCAAATCGCATTGTGATGCTGAGAAGTATAGCTTACTATTTAAAGTAAGACACAACTTTGGATTGGGGTATGAGGACGTTTGTGTGAAAAGCCCTCCCATATTCCGTTGTCCAAATAAATACGCAAATCGCTTTTCATTACATAATCGGCTTCGGGAGGATTGCATCTCAAAGGCGGCACGCAGGCCTCTCTCTCTCCCACGTGCGTACAAAGGACATCGGTGAGTCCACGTGGCATGTACCCCGAGAACATCGCGAAAGAGCGCTGCCACTCGTCTTCATTTGCGAGCGTTCAAATTAGTAAATGCGCACATCGATGCAGAAGCACGCCGTTGACTCATCTGTTCCATGGGGTGTTTGAGAACGTGTGATTTGGGTGTCTCGGCGAATGGGAATATGTAATTGGGAACATGTGATTGGGAACAAGTGAATGGGAACAGGCATGCCACTCCCTGGAAGTGAATTAATTAATAGATACATCAATGCACATGTGCTGTAGCTTGGTTTGCAATAACAATCAAAGGGAATGTACTGGATGTGTTATGTACATCTCTATCCCATCTAAAACGATAAGATTCGAGGTAGGAATGTAATGGACGATCTATCATGTGGCAATCTTATGAATTATCACGTGTCATGGTCACGATTTCAGAATAAAAATGTTTTATTGTAGCGAACGTCAGTGCCTATAGTGTGTCTGCAGGGGGGTTACGTGAACCCCACCAACTCAAAACGTAGGCGCCCTGAAGGACATGAGATGTTTGCACGCGCAATTCAATGCGTGTGTCGACACCTCCCTCGTATGAATTCACGGATCGATGAAAGTGATGCAGTCACCACCTAAGTGATATAGTTTCAAGGGGAGGGTTTGGACAAGCAATGTGAGAACAAGTATAACCCGTAAAAACAAAGTTTTTCACTATAAATCCTTTATATGCGTGGCGGCTAGAGTCCTCTCGTCCTCTGGCTTGAGGTGGCTGCCGCCTATGGGTCAGATGATTGCATGGCAGCATTAAGCAATTGGTAATTACATATAATATTTTTGTCCTAAAAAGTGTAAAATTTTGGAAAAAAAATTTCACGAACATTAATTGTCACGCACAACGAGTCTGTGTGGAAAATGTCAGCTCGATTGGATCACGGGAAGTGGGTTAAAAAACGACCGAAAGATTTGCACGGTCCTAAGCAAGCAAGCAAGTGAACTTAATATAAAGGATTTAAAAAAACCCAGCATATTGACTACAATCACAGTACGCATGTCGTCAGCCACGATCAATCCACTGATGGATGATGGCTATCCCAAAACTGTTATTATCATGCACATCATTTGTCGTGTTTACTCCTCGAGTGGAGTTGAAGCTTTCAAATCTGCTTTAAGTTTTACCCACCCAGCAACATAGCAAAGGGCTGTTTCGTCTACATAACAAAGGCTCAGTCCCATTTACAGCAACCGCACCTTAACAACTCTAGCACCTCCCAGTTCAACCAGTCTACACAACAAAGGCTCATTCCTAGCAGCAGCCTCAGCCGCACCAACCTCACAATAATAATAATACAAAACTCCGATCCAGGTGCCTACCTTGCTTGGCTCCTCCCCCCCTCAACCAGAATATATACAAGGACGGGTCTCTTAGAATTTCTCTTTACTTGATACAGCAATCGTGCTGTGACGGTTCCACCTGAAGACGGAAGCTTGTGTTGCCTCCGAAACGTCGTGATTTTTATTTTACTTTTATTAATTTAAATTTAATTTTTTACCTACGTGACTTTATCGAAAAAACCTAAGAGTTTGGCCAAACATCCCAATGTAGGATCCTCTGAATATGTCTCGATAGTGATGCTCCTTTTGCAGACCTTTGTCAACCCACTGCTGGACTGAGGTCTACTGCCCCACGCTTTGCCGTGGCGACTGCGGAAGAAGTTCCCCCATCGATGCTTTAGTAATTTAGTAATCATCTTGACTTGAAGCTTTCGTGACTGCAGGAATTAATATTCTTTGGGTCTTTCGGTAAAGTCACGTAGAAAGGTTCAAATGAATGAAAGTAAAATGCGATCGAAACGTCATGAGTTTTTTGTTCATTTAATTTTTATTCATTTGAAACTATCTACGTGACTTTACCGAAAGACCCAAAGAATCAGTAATTATCATTACATGCAAATACATATAACCACGTTATTATTCACGTCGCCACTTAAACATTGCAGCTGAAACAATAGTATTTTCAGCTTGATTGCGATGTATGTTAAACTTATTTTGCACATAGCCAAATGCGCTAATCGAAGGTCCGGGGTAAGGACAACAAACTAAACTGAAAAAGCAGTTCTAAAGAAATGAGTTTTCAATCTAGATTATTTAAAAGTGCATATCTCCAGCAGCTTCCTAATATCGGAAGTAAGAGCGTTCCAGACGGCCGCAGAAGCGCATCTGAGAGTGCGATGCAGTGACCGTCTTTGTACGATGGCTAGCCAGAAGATTCGTCACAAGATTGTGTATGACCTGTGCTGTACTTTAGTACTTTGATTCGTACTGCAATATCTACTTTTAAATAAATATTGAAACTTCACGAAGAGAGGCTTCTCTTGAAACAAGTGTGACGCTATTACTTATTCGAGAAGCAATGATGACTAAATGAAATTCCACATTTCCCACCATCGTTTCTACAATTAGTCGTGCTAACAAGCTCATTGGAATGAAGATGCTTGTAATCACCAGCGAAACGTCGAACTCAAATTGTAACTGTCGTGGGCTTACTCTCCAACACACCGGTGTGTTGGTCTCGTAACGAATGGGCCACGTTCTGTGAGAAGTGAACGAACCTTACTAATTGGCTGTGTCGGGTGGTCGTGGGTTAACGACACATTTATATATTCACGCGATCGATCCCATAAAAACCTTGTTATGAAGCTCGACAAATCGAGTGGTAATTGTCCAGTGCTCAGAACGCGGGGATCATTAAAGAGAGGCATTACAAATCGGCAACCTCTGTCATTCAGGCGAAGCTTGTGTCACCGTGGTGTTAACGGTCATCACACCGCACCATCCGCCGGTTCTAGGCGCTGTCTCAACACCAGAGGTCGCAACCGGGTACCCGATACCCGTACCCTACCCGATACCGTTTGCGACCGTGGTGCGGCCGGGTACGGGTAGACCGTGAGTCACTGGTGAGTCACCGTTTGTCACTCATTTCCCAACGTCTTGTCTCTTCTCACAATTCAGGTTCCTAGAATCAACCCACCCGCGCCTGCAACATGGCTTCATCCCAGAGGTCGCAATCAGGTACCCGATACCCGTACCCTACCCGTACCCGGCCGTGTACGGGTAGGGTACGGGTACGGCCGGGTACGTGTACGGGTACCCGTTTGCGACCCTGGTGCGGCCGGGTACGGGTACGGGTAAGGAATCAAAACCCGTTTGCGACCTCTGCTCAGCACAGCAGTTGAAACAATGGGGCGCGTTTCTTCCCCCGCCTCCGTCCATACAGCGGTATGAATGTGTTACACCCACAGTTAGATATTCGTCAGGTCTCGTTTGGTGAGGTTCGCGTGGGAACTGCCGCTTCTTCTAAGACGCCTGGCCAGCGTGGAAGAGTAGGCCAAACATGCCTTCTTGAGCAAGGGCCGGCAAACCAAAATAACAATAGTTTAATTTTTTGGAATTCGGTAACAAAAAAACCTCAACATTTCAAGAGCCGCAATGCGTATGAATGCGAAATGGTCCTTAAAAGATAACATTAGGAAGCACTTCCTTAAAAAGCCGCATGCGGCGTCGGAGCCGCAGGTCGCTGACCCCTGCTCTCGATGTGGATCTCTCGAGCGAGCTGCCGTAGCTGCTGCTATCCTTACGGCAGCAAATCTCCGCGAGCAGGCAATTGCAGGGCTGCGCCTTCACCTCACAATCTCGCACGCACGGCGCTTGCCACCCTCTCGCGCTCCGCCGCGAGTGCCAGCGCAGAGTTGCCTTGTGGCAGAGGTAACAACCGGGTACCCGATACCCATACCCTACCCGATACCCGGCTACCCGTACCCGGCCAGGTACGGGTACGGGTACCCGTTTGCGACCCTGGTGTGGCCGGGTACGGGTAAGGAATCAAAACCCGTTTGCGACCTCTGCCTTGTGGGCACGAGGCAAGGGCAAGGTGCCAGACGCTGGAATCTCAGTGAGCCCTTTTCCTGCCTTCGGCACGGGGCGCCGAGCGAGATATTTCGAAGCCGCTGCGCGCTGTCGTTGACCGCATGGCGCTGGCCCAGAGGCCCAACGCGGCGCTGGGAGCCCCCGGGGTTTGGTGAACGCGGCACCAACCTGGAAGCCGACGAGCAGGAGGATGAATATCCACGGCGTGCTCGCCATAGCTTCGTGCCAGATGTTGCGCCTGCAGCTTCAATTAAAATGCTCCGGCTTCACGAGACGAAGTCTGCGGGGAAGAAACGAATAATAATGATGATAATAATGCGTCAAAATGCCGAGATCAGAGCGGCTGCCTCCTTGATTTAAGAGATGAGAGCAGCGATGAAGCCTCAGAAGTTCGCAACGTGAGCCTCGTGCGGAAATCGTTTTTTTACGATAAAATAATGGGGGGTTCGTTTGGTGCGTGGATTGAACCTTTAGAATTTAGGAAGCGAAAAACTACAACGGCGCTGATGCAAGTTCCTTCCGGCCACAGCAGACGTTTCACACGAGTGCTTCGCTGGAATAAACGAAAGAGACCCAACACATTCTGCCTGCTGGCCAGAACTCGTGAGGGCACACACATGTGCCGGTGTCCGCGATGTTAAGTGGGGGAAAACAAGCCTTGTTATGCAATCTTGTGGCGTCTGTTTTTAACCCGACGTTAATGGACGCAGCGGGTTTCGTGCCTGGCACGCTCGGGGCTTTGAGTGCTCGCCGTGGCGTCTGGGTGAACGACGCCGTTTTTTCTGCCACGTGGGAATTTCTGAGGCTGCGGGCAACCCCCTTGCCACCGTCTTTTCACTTCTGCACCGAGCGAACGGATGTGGTGGGTGGCAGGGTCTAGGAAGTGAGATTCTTGCCGCCTTGAAGGTTTGGGGGGGAGCGGGTGAGAGTCGGGGGTGGTGGTGGGGGGGTCATTGAAGGGATGGAGGTCTTGAGTGTACCGTAAACTCTCTGCTGCTCTGTTTGCCGAGTGTGTTTTGTTTACGACGACGACCACGCAAGGCCGCAGCAAAACAAAGGACACGCGAAACAGACCGCTCCAAAAGTAAATAATACATACTCGCCTATGGCTTTGAAACCGAATTACAGGAGCCGAGAATTTTAATTGGATAACTGCGTTGTATGTGTGGGGGTGAGTGGGTGATAGGGGGTGCAGCATATTGGAAGGTCCCAGAGGTTCAAGGGGGGGGGGGGGGGGCTTGCATCTTTTAAGGTCCGCACCGATTTGCTCTAATCTGATATAATTAAACTTCCTCGTTTTTTCGCTTTTTGTCTTAAATCACAGCAGCTTGGGAGATGAAGGGGGGGGGGGGTGCTCATAGGAGTCGGGGGGCGAAACCCCAACGGGGCCGCAGACTGTTGCTGTGGCTCCGCTCTTCGATGCCAGGATCCCGCCTCCGAGATTTAATCTGTATAATTATGGTTGTACTTTACGCCGTAGCGGCTAGATTAGATCTAAAACTTGATAAATAATACCCACAAGGAAGCCCACATTTTGAGGATCATTATTTTGAGTGCTTGTTACGGTCCGTGCTCCGCGGGGAGAGGGGGCCAACAACAACGGATGAACTTTGGGCTCCTTTCGGAGGCATCGCTTTGTGGTTTCAACTTGCACGCGCCGGAGTAGAGATATTAGAACAGCCCGATTTAACTGCATTAATAAATGTACGCAAATGTAATGCTGATGAGAAAATAACAGGAAGTATGTAAATAAATAATGAGGGGGTGGCGGCGGGGGGGGGGGGGCGCGGTCGTTAAATTAAAAACAAACATCATCAAACAACGCTGGTCACACAGGAATTTTCTATTAAACTAAACTCGTATATCAAACACCAGGTCAGAGCCAGTTAAGACGAGGGAGCTGATTTTTCGAGCTATTCTGGCTGTCATTCTGCCCCTGTTCTATATCATGTCTGTTTCGTGCGAACGAACAATGTCTAAATTGACGTTTGTCCAATTCCTTATGTAACTCACGTCGCCGCTTCTCGGGGCCCTCTTGGGTGTCCTGCAAAGGTCTACCCCTCTTCTCTCACTTGTCAAAATGTTTTTATTTTCGCCATCACTTCTGCGCTGGTGCCGTTCCCATTGACTCCATGAACCCAAAATCACTCTCCAGCCCCACGTCCTGTCTTACCACGGTCTCGTCTCGGCTTTGTTCGATGTTTTTCCTCTCGCTAAATTTGTGTCAAAACCGAAGCCCCTTATCGGCAAAAGGTTCACTCTACTTTAAGTAGACTCCAGTTTGAGAGTACACCTCCCAAACTTTGACAACTGGCAAAGAGCGAGCGAAACAATGTCGTTGTCAGTGGCGCCAAGCTCTTGATCTCTTCCCACATGTCAACTCTGCATGGCCTCATATCTCCAACTGCACAACATACCCCGGGTCTGCCATTTCCCGACCCAGATGTGCTACTGAAACCATCGTCCACGGCTTCATTGTATTTTCACACGACTATTGCAACATTCTCCTCCACGAACTACTCCGTGTTCCTCATTTCCAAACTACAGATGATCCTCCGCGGACTTGCCTCTGCCTAACTCTGCACGCACTCTACGACCTCTCATCTTACTCTGCTCCCCTACAAACACTCTCCACTCCGGCAACTAAAGTTTTTTTTTTTGTGGAAGCTCCGAGTCAACCGTTAACCAGTGAGCATGGTCGCTCATTCTCCTTTGCTTTCTCCAGATTGTGGAACTCGCTCCTCCCAGTCATACAGATTATCGACTCGCTGCCCCTATCCAGGTCCTGGTTGAATACCTCAAATGAACCCTGGCCTGTCTGCCTCTATAAAATAATGTGCACTGTCTATCGACAACATTTTGAGATGTGGGTGCATTTATATGCTATTGGGGTTCACATTGTATTGTGGGTTGGTGGATTGTAAGTTCATGCATCATCAGTAATTGTAGCAGGAGAATCATCGTTATCATCACCTCCATTTTCCATCCATCGTCATGTATCATTTCCATCACAATGATATGTAATCATAAACATCACGTTCATTCATCATGATCGTCATTAGGATCACTTCCATTGTTGACAATAGTCGTGATCATCATCGTTATCTTAATTTTCTTTTTCAGCTTCAACTTTGTCTTCATCATCATCGACATCAATATTAAGTAATGCTAAGCCATATTTTATTAAGCCATACATTTGCTAAGCCACAAATTCCAGCTCACTCTAGAATTCCACAAACGCATGAAAATTCCGCTTGAATCAACTGTAAATGCCTTTTTTTTCAAAAGAGAACCGATCAAATAAGGAGATCGTAACAGCAAACAGTTTTCAGTGCAACAATTAAAACTCCCATCTAAACATCATAAACGACAAACATCACAAAAGCAAAAAACTTATTCTCGAGTGCAACAAATGAACACACAGTTAAACATCGTAACAGCACATGTCACAATGCAAGAGGTTCTGTAATGCACAATGCAACAGAAATAGTTTTTTTTTATTTCAAGTTGAATCAATCCACGACGATCGCCCTCGAAAGTAATATCCGATGTAAATCTGTTCACCGTGGAGAATACGGATCCCGGTATGCCACGAGTGGCTTCGTCATCACCACCTTCTCCTCGTCGTCTTGCGAGTGCGAATCACCAGGCGCCCTCGAGGGCACGGCTCGGGGGTGAGGGGAGGAGAACGATTTTAAGAAATCTGATGCATCTGTGAGCTTCTCTTCACATTGTATCCCTGCTTTGTAAAGTCGTGGCTTTGTAGCGTGGATATGACTTGTGGCTTTCATTAAATTGAGCCTTGGGCACTTAAAAAACGAACGTTTGTGACGGCTATAAACTTGCAGTGCCTTGTTTCTTTAAAAGGTGCAGCCCCGCAATTTCTCACTCAAATCTCCACAGGGTATTTGGTCTACTCTTACACAGTATTGCTTTAGTATGTTACATCATCCAAATTCATGTGTAAATAAAATGTTTTTAAATCGTACACTGATAGAAGGGTAAAGAACCAATTATCATATTTTTACTGGCAAATGAGGTCCCCATAGAGTCTGATAAAGTACATTTAAAATGTTTAGTAGAGGCAAACCAACAGATTGCCTCAGCATAGCCACCCTTTACTACTGTGACTTAACCTTGGAGTCGAACAAGTGGCGATGCCCCCTGGCAGAATTCAACATTTTTCAAAGGATCTGACAGTAAAGAGTTATGTGCCTTGATCGAGTCGGCCACGCTTCGGGAACCCTGAAAGATTGTCTCAGGCGGGGAAGATCTGTCGGTTCAGTCGGTTTATGTGGCTCACCCATCGCTCAGAATCCTCAAAGCGCCCACTCCGCGAGTGTTCAATGCCCTCCCTTCTCTCACGTCGTTGAAATTTTACTCCGAGGGCATTATGGTAATTGGACCGGTGCTGAATGTCTGTACAGCTAATTGAGGAAGTCAAGGTTAAATATGAATGAGACAATTTGTGAAGCTGGTCATTGTGCTGACGTGCTGTACATTTTATCTTTGGCCAGGCTCCCGCAGGATGTAAACAAGAGCACTTATATAAACCACTTAGCCATGCACTGTGGCCAATAAAATCTTTGTATGCCAATAAAACCCATGTATCTGCTCCCACAACAGGAGGACGCATCTAGTCTCTCTTTTCAACAAATCATGACGACAATAAAACATTGCCCTAATGATTCCTGCAGGGGTTTTGATGGATCCCATTATGCAGAACGGTAGGAGGAGGAGGAGGATTCAAGTTGTGTTTTTTAATCTCGCGCAGCATCTCTCGGCACATTGTATTGTTGGTTGTCATCACGGGGCGCGGGATTGTGCGTGGGATTGAATAGAGTTTTGCGAGGGGCCCCTGTGGGAGAGTTTCTGAGGCCCTCCCGGCTTTATCGCGGCTCGATAACAATCGCAGGGCAATCGCAGGAGGTCGCTTGTCACGGAAAGGAAATTTGAGCACAAATACCAGCCCCCACACACACCACACACCACACGCTCGTTAAATCCACAGGATATTTGTCAGAGTGGGGATTTGAACTCGGATACCTGAGTTCGATTCCTGGCCACGACTAGCGTCAGTGGTGAATGATATCCAAACTGGTCCATGGTTCTTTCCCTGCACAAACTCACACTAAACCAGTGCGGTGAAGTATGGTCAAACCAACCCACCATGGCGTAGGCCCTTCATCTCGCAATAGGATGACAGAGGTCTGTAAATAAATATTACAGACATTTACAAATATTGTTATGATACTAAACTGTGGGTTTATAACTGCGCAT